GGTCATAGGATAGAGTGGTGCGGTCATAGGATAGAGTAATATGGTCATAGGATAGAGTGGTACGGTCATAGGATAGAGTGGTACGGTCATAGGATAGAGTGGTACGGTTATAGGATAGAGTGGTACGGTCATAGGATAGAGTGGTACGGTTATAGGATAGAGTGGTACGGTCATAGGATAGAGTGGTACGGTTATAGGATAGAGTGGTACGGTCATAGGATAGAGTGTTACGGTCATAGGATATAGTGGTACGGTCATAGGATAGAGTATGTACTGTCATAGATTTAAAGGGACACAATCAATGGAAAAGAGGGACACTCAGTCAAATGACACAATACCATGACAATTAAAAGATGCATAAAATACAACAACAGAACGAATAGGTAAAACAGGAACGAAGACATGAAGTCAATGGGCTTGAAGACACGCAGAGAATATTGAGGACACAACCAAATAAATTCAGGGACACACAATCAATGTACATTTATGGCACAATCACATGATATCGAGTAACCTGAGGACACACCATCAAATGAAATAAAGAACATACAATCAAATGAATTAAAAGGCATCAATCAAAGTTCATCTATGACAAACTTAAAGGACACGATCATGACACAATCAAGACAATAACAAGACGTACAGAACAACATCCACAAGAGAAAACACCACACCATCAACGCAAGAAGTCGGATACACACCAACAACCCCACTCTTGAAAAGTAAAAATAGATAATGAAATTAACAGGCCCGTGTAATTATTTTAGTTCTCCCACGGGTCTAGACCTTAAGGAATCAATACCCAAAGGTCATTATTTAAAGCCCAGAATTATCCCATTACGTCCGTTGCTCTACTCGGATAAGAAATAAACATACATTTATACTGGATACACATGTTTATAGGATTTATAAATTAAAAAAAAAACAGGAGGCAAACCATAGATATGCGAGACGTTATTTAAAAAAATAAATGAGGCTTCAGAATTTATCTTTGTTCACTTCTGTTTAAACCAGGGGTCTCCAAACTTTTCAGTCCGAGGGCCGCATTAACAATCAAATTTCAGTTCGGGGGCCAGTTTCTTCCAGGCTTGTCTTTGATTTTTCTGGGCAAAGTTCCTCAGCCATCACCAACAAACGTTTTTTCCGTGCACAAAAAATCTCCGCGGGCCGGATGAGAGCACATCGCGGGCCGCATCCGGCCCGCGGGCCGTAGTTTGAAGACCCCTGGTTTAAACCATAACAAATAAAAATCGACATTTTTACGCCCCCCCCCCCCCCCCAACCCCTCCTCTTGGCCCACAATGGTTCATTGTTGCACATTCTCCATTAAATGATGGGAGGGTGGGGTGGGGTGGGGGGTATGGGAAGAGAAATCACACCATGAATATTTGATCGTTTAATCTGCAAATTTCTCCAGCCGTGCTAACTATTTGGTTTTTACACCTTGTCAGCTTTTAGTTTTTACTCTTGTAACAAGACGATTGGGTGACGGTGAAATTGTTATTGAGATGGCGATAAAAGTCGGACGTTAAGTTTAATAGTTAGGACAAGAGTAAGATGTTTAGGGCAAGTTTGGTTAGGGTTAGGATAATGAGTTGAGGTCTGGGCTCAGGTTAGATCAGGACTTCAGTTAGGTTTGGGTAAGGTTAGTACTAGAACAATAGGTTTGATGTTTAGATAAGTTGGGGTTTATGGCTGAAGTTTTAGGTTTAAATTTCGGGTTAGGTTAGGTTTAGAATAATAGGTTCAGGTTTGGCGTTAGCTTAGGTTAGGGCTAGGACTGGAGTTGGGTTAGACTTATTGGTTTAGGGATGGATTTTGGTTAGGTTAGGTTATGACCAGAGAAGTAGGTCTAGGGTTAGGGGTTGACTTATGGTTAGGGAATGAGCGGAGCAATGATCTCTCGGTACCTTTTAACGGAAAAGTAGAACAAAAACATGCAAGGCTTCACAGATACATTGATAAATACACGTTAGCTATGCAGCATACGGCCTCAGCGTGCCTCTATTGATTCTTTACAATATGAATCAACATTATAAATTCTGGACGAGGGGGGGAGGGGATGTGGGATATTGCTCCACCGGGAGCGAGGGTGATTAGGTAAGGGGGGGGAGGGGGGTGTGTGTGGAAATAGAGACTAACTAGAAACAACCAGCGCCGGGTTTGAATAATTTATAAATTAAGGAAGGAGATGCGGCCGTAAAAAGCTAGATAAAAAAAAAGACTAGCGTTGTGGTATAGGGTATAATTTTGATTGACCTCTGACCCCTGGGGCGTTATTTGTAGGGTATAATTTTGAGTGACCCCTGACCCCCAGACAGATCATTCAGATGGGCTGGCTAGGGGAGCCAGACAAACGTTCAATAGCCGAGAGAGGCCAGCGCCCATTGTGTCGGGTCATGGTAATGCGATTACAGATGTTGGTTAAAGGGCGTTACAGGAAGGGGTGGGGGGGGGGGAGAATTGTGTGCATGGGGGAGTCACGCTTGTCCAGCCCGTGTGCTTGAGTAATAACAGAGATTGTATGGGGTGGAGGGGGGGCTTAACCAAGTACTAAAATTGGGAGCTGGTTCTTGGTTAAAAAAAAATAAAACAGGGCGTGTCAGCCGAGGCTTTATTGCTTAGGTGATATTACCACCCTAACATAAAACCTAGCACCCCCCCCCCCCCCCCCAATCCTGACCCTGTCCTCAATCTTTAACCTAAAAGCAATACCAGCTCGGTACAAATCTCGATGCGATGCGGTACGTTATATGTTATAGGCATAAAAAAAAATTATGTTGTTGGATTATTCGTAATGTGTCGGTAAAAAATTACAATAATCTATATACAGGCATAGGCTGTAGAAAAGAAATAAACCTAGCCAAAACCCCACACCTAAGCCAAACCATAGCATAAACTCGAAGCCTAACCAGTATTCAAAATCCAGTAATAAATACACAAGATTTGTGCAATAGAAACGTATCTTACCCTAAACATCAAATCCAAACCAAGCCATAACACTAACCCTGAACATAACATATAATAAAATACAGTAAATCAGGGCTACATAAACTAAACCTAACCCAAGCATCAAACTATGAAACTAAACTCGTCATAAAGCTAGCCAGTTATCGTATACAATAATCAATACACACGATACCGCCTAGTAGATGTAGAGACGAAACAGCCCAGCTGTTAAACCTAACTCAAACCATATCACTAGCCTAAGCCTAACTGTGCAACAATACAGCTAAGCCAAAATAGAACTTTTACTTTTACACTATAACTAAACATCATTGACACACCCATTAACGGAAAAAAAATACACGTATAGATCAAGATTCCATAATGAAGAAATGCCTTAAGGTGAAGCCATGCTTTACAATAGCGTGGCGTGTTGACAGCTGATAATAAAAGTACGCAGCATTTGCTGGTACGTCGCGATCTATAACAGATCCACTCTCGCTTGTAATGTTAGGGTAAATAGACCTAAACGATTGTAACCAGACTCGAGACATAATACTACACTGGTGTTAGGAGCTGAGAGAAATAAAACAATAGTCTAGACTCAATCCATGTACCATATTTTTTTGGTTCAGGAACATTGGGGAGGGGGGGGGGTATTCTTGATCCATATCAGATCAACTCAAGCATTTATTGTAAGGATCAATCAATGCTACTTTAAGCGTGTATCTAGGTAACACATTTACTACATTGCGCGTTAGAATCGTGTGTGTGTGTGGGTCTTGATCCATAACAGATCAACTCATTCATTTATTGTAAGGATAAATCAATGCTACTTTAAAGCGTGTATCTAGGTATCACATTTACTACATTGCGCGTTAGAATCGTGTGGGGGGGGGGGGGGGGGGAAGAGAAAGGGTATTCTTGATCCATAACAGATCAACTCAAGCATTTATTGTAAGGATAAATCAATGCTACTTTAAAGCGTGTATCTAGGTATCACATTTACTACACTGCGCGTTAGAATCGCGCGTGTGTGTGGGTGTGTGTCTTGATTCTTCACAGATCAAATCAGGCATTTATCGTATGAGTCAATCAATGCTACTTATAGGCGTGTGTCTAGGTAACACATTTACTACACTGCCGCGATAGAATCTTGGGGGGGGGGGAGAGAGAGAAGGGTTATTCTTGATCCATTACAGATCAACTCAAGCAATTTTTGTAAGGATCAATCAATGCAACTTAAAGGCGTGTATCTAGGTAACACATCTTACACTGAGCGTTAGATTCATAACAGATAACAACAAGCATTTATTTTAAGGGTCAATCAAGGCATGTATATAGGTAACACATGTGCTACATTGTATGTGGGGGAATCATGCGTTTATTTTATAGGCAACTTGATTCTACTAAAAGGATCGTATTTAGAATTAACACATATACTACATTGTGTGTCGGGGAATCATGCGTTTATTGTATAGGCAACTTGATTCTACTAAAAGGATCGTATTTAGACTCAACATATATACTACAATGTGTGTGGGGGAATTATGCGTTTATTGTATAGGCAACTTGATTCTACTAAAAGGATCGTATTTAGACTCAACATATATACTACATTGTGTGTGTGGAGGGGGGGGGGGGGAATCATGCGTTTATTGTATAGGCAACTTGATTCTACTAAAAGGATCATATTTAGACTCAACATATATACTACATTGTGTGTGTGTGTGGAGGGGGGGGGGGGGGGAATCATGCGTTTATTGTATAGGCAACTTGATTCTACTAACTAAAAGGATCGTGTTTAGACTCAACACATATACTACATTGTGTGTTAGAAGCATATAGAAATAATTGTGTGTTCTTCAATGTATTAGGTAAACTTAAAAAAAACAGTGTGGTTGCAGTGGTGGAAGAAGATTGTCAATGTGTTAAAAGAATATAGTTTTAGCACGCAAGGGGGGGGGAGAGGTAGGAGATGTGTATTCACCTCCCAAGACAATAGTTTTTAACATGAAGACAAGGGGGAGGGTGTAACGAATTTATGTACTCACCTCCCTAGTCTCGGCACACAGCTTACATAACCACAGCGGCTGTTTGTTGCTGTTGGTGGTGTCCATACCACATTTGGAACACACCGCCTGCAGACAAATGACACATTAGGGTTAAAATTAAACTTAAATTACAAACAAATACAACAGGCAAAAAAAAACAAAAAAAAACAAACCCAACCCTTGTATGATATTTCCTTCTACTATAAATGAAACGTTAATTTTCTGCAGTAACATCTTCTCAAGATTACCCCGTAGAATAAATATAAGGGATCGTGCACATGTTGCAGAACATTAGAAAGACATCTTGACCTTCATCCCAACTATACAACATCATAAGATGTTAAAAGACCACCCCTCATATTATATTTTTAAAAATTGAGAATTGTGTTATACAACACTTGAAAACTCTGTACTAAGCAATATAAGATAATGATAAACCACCGAACTAACCCCTGTGTATAATATAATATGTGTAAGATCCCTTAGGGTTCGTTTTAGGGTCAGGGTTAGGGCTGTGCTTAAGGGTAGGTCAGCTTTAAAACACAAACATAATTTCGATGGGGTCATACTGGGTGAAAGGTACCAAAATACTAAGTGAACTTCAGGAGAAATATTTAAAATCTAAGACATAAAACAAAACAAATAAACTTTCCATGTTTTTACTCATGAAGTGAAAACAGAAGTAAAAAATTGGTCGGTTGCTTCCTTAAAAGACAAATCGTATAACAAAAATGTCAGTGATCAATTTAAAAAAGAAGAAGAAAAATGTGTGTTGTTGCTGAATATTTAAACAGTTTATGTTTTTTGATGTGAGGAATTTCCACACATTTCCAGTCAACTGACACCAAATATTTACAGAATCAAAATGCTTTTCTTGTTTTTAAAAAAAAATCACATGTTTCTATATGAGCTTTAAATATCACAACTAAAAAATGCAAGCTTGCAAAATTATAAAATAATATTGAGTTAGCATAAAAACGCCCAGGTCATTTAAGTAAGTAACACTAAAAATTAAGAATTAAGAAGAAGAAAGAAGAAAGATTTAAGTAAGTTACAGTTCTGCTAGAGGTGGGTTAAGCTTGAGTGGGGCCCTGGTTAAATCTATCTGGGGCCCTTAGCTGAATGTTATCTGGGACTCCAGAATGAATCTTTTCTGGGGCCCTGGTTGAATCTTACATGGGGCCCCTGGCTTAATCTTATCTGGGGCCCCTGGCTGAATCTAGGACCCCTATAGGTGTAAAGTGATATCTTTTGTGCCTATTTACCAAGGTATGTTTCATTAGGTCAACACACCACTAATACTTACCTTAGCACAGTCATCACAGTAGGTGGGAGAGGCCCCTAGAAGTTTGAACTCATCCCCACACAAGATGCACTGGGAGGTCCCGTTACCAATGGCGTTCTTTTTCATGTTGTCCAGTTTGTCCACAAGCCTCCTGTAAAATAAAAAAAAACAACATAAAAAGCTTAGCCACAATGGCTTTTGTCTTTTGTAGACACTATGACTTCCAGCTCTTTTGGAGAGCCATCTTGATTAAATACAAAGTCTAGTGAGATAGAATGATGGAGCAGTTGATGGCTAAACTCACAAAGAGTTCAAATCCCAAATCTGACAAAACAAGGAAAGGTTTTCTTGGCTTAGTACAGTTACCTAGTACACACCCTAAACCTAACCCATCTTTACCCAATCCTCTCTTGCTCCACACCTTCCAGGTACTAAGCTCTGAAGAAGATCCTCAAACTTTACTAAACCAAACTCTAACCCATCCTTACCCAATCCTCTCTTGTTTAACACATTTAGAGATAACACTCAAACTTTTACTATACTAAACCCATCCTTACCCAATCATCTCGTGTTTAACACCTTTGGAGATAGCCCTCAAACTTAACTAACCCAAACCCTAAACCATCCTTACCCAATCCTCTCCTGCATCACACATACGATGCACTCAGCTCTGGAGATAACCCTGAAACTTTACCAATCGAATCCCTAAACCTAACCCATTCTTACCCAATCCTCTCCTGCTCCACACCTTACTGGTACTCAGCCCTGGAGATGACCCTCAAACTTTACTAAACCTAACCCATCCTTACCCAGTCATCTCTTGTTTAACACATTTAGAGATGACACTCAAACTTTTACTATACTAAACCCATCCTTACCCAATCATCTCTTGTTTAACACCTTTGGAGATAGCCCTCAAACTTTACTAACCTAAACCCTAAACCATCCTTACCCAATCCTCTCACTTTCAGGTACTCAGCCCTGGAGATGACCCTCAAACTTTACTAACCCAAACCCTAAACCTAACCCAGCCTTACCCAATCCTCTCCTGCTCCACACCTTTCAGGTACTCAGCTCTGAAGATGACCCTCAAACTTTACTAACCCTAAACCTAACCCAGCCTTACCCAATCCTCTCTTGCTCCACACCTTCAAGGTACTCAGCCCTGGAGATGACCCTCAAAATTTGTTCCTGCTCGTCCAGACTCAAGTGGTCAGGCCGGCTGAAGTTGCCCATCCTGTTGGTGTGGACAGACCAGCCGGTGCCTAACCTACGATACACAGTACAACACACACGGGGTATTAGTGAATAAATGTGGCTTCTTATAGTATATCTGGTAGCTAACATTTATAATAGGGTTAAATAAAGGCTTTTTGAAAACTAGTATTTCGGATCATATATAAATTTATAAGTCACAAATTATGTACGTCTATAAGGTTGGAATGAAAACAAAAAGTTTGTGTTAAACCTCATTTAAACTTTAAACTTAATTAGAACGTCCAAGCTTTCAAAAATGATAATCGTTTAATTTAACTTACAAGAAATATTTCTATTTCGACGAATTATGGCAGTAGCATTTCAAAATCATTTTTTAAAAAATCAAACTTAAATCTAGTATTTTTATTCACATTTAAAAAACCATCAAGCCCGAAATTTAAATGAACAAGAACGATAACTTACTTGGCTCTCAGTGAGAGTTGTCTGTCATTGGGACACACCCACCGATCAAGATTCCCGCTGGAGTTGAATTCTCCCATAGTTCTAGTACTGTCAAACCCTCCTACAGTAAAGAGTCCTAGACAGCTAATCCACTCATGTAATTGTATAGCCACTGGCTATCCACTCCTTCAAGATCGGGACTTGTGTTAGTCCATCATGGTACGTCCATGACGCAGGAATCCATGTCCGTTGGTCAAATCTGGAGCTGATTTATTTCTGTAAACAAAACAAAAACAAGCATTTTATTTTTCAAAATACAACTTGATTCTACTGCTGTTATAAATATTTCACAGAAATTGTATAGAAAATTACCACAGAGGCAGTTGATGTAGGTGGACAAGCGCTGGAAGTATAGCTAGAAGAAAAGTTTACAGATCTGGGAAGAACAGTTTATAAGGACGGGGGCACTGGATTAGAGATCACGGCAAGATTACAGAAGGCAAGAGAAGCTTTTGCAGCTCTAAAAATATATGGAGCTCTAAGCAAATGGATAATAAGACCAAATTACGAAACTTTTATTGTAACGTAAAAAATATTGCATTGTAGGCGCTGAAAGCTGGCGACCAACAAAGGTTGAGTGGAACAGAGTGCAATCTTTCATAAATAACTACCTACGGCGAATTTCAAATCTAAAGTTTGATCAAGTACCTAGCACAGGAGTATGGGAACAGACAGGACAAATCTCAGTGGAGCAACAAATTGGGAACAGAAGGTGGAGATGGATAGGTATAACGTTAAGAAAACTGGCTACACGTGTTATTATACAATGTATATTATGTAATCCATGAGAAAAAGTGGGAGACTCAATACCACCTGGCGTAAAGAAAATGAAATTTACAGGTATGTTATTGAAAAGAGCTGGAAAGAAATTTAAAAAAAAAAGGGCCAAAAAAAAAAGGAGAGCATTGAAGGATGTTGTAAATGACCCATGCTTCGATGTGAGCTGAAAAAAAGGCGAAGAAGAAATTTAACGAACGTACAGTAAATTATAACAACCTCGAAAGTAGCGAGTTCAGTTACAATGTTAAAGTAAACATGACGTCCCTTAAGTCCACTCAGCTCTAATGGGTACCTGACTAGAGTCGGGGAAAGAACAGGCGGTGAAGCTGACTACGCAATATGTTCATATGTCCAGGTCAAAGAAACACGAAACTCTACTTGATCTGATGTATGAGCCAATAGGGAGCTTACTTTACTATATTGAAATCAATAGCTTTAGAGCAGGGGTCTCCAAACTACGGCCCGGGGGCCGGATGCGGCCCGCGAAGTCCTCTCATCCGGCCCGCGGAGATCTTTTCGTCAAAGGAAAAATCGTTTTTTTGGTGATGGCTGAGGAACTTTGCCCAGAAAAATCAAAGACATGCCTGGAAGAAACTGGCCCCCGAACTGAAATTTGATAGTTAATGCGGCCCTCGGACTGAAAAGTTTGGAGACCCCTGCTTTAGAGGCTTACCCTGCGCCTAGCCTTAACTCAAACAGTTGACATGGTCAATAGAATACGTACACACAGCATATTGATTTTCATCACTATAAAAACTCGACTAATTCCGCAAGCTTAAAATAATAGGTTGGCACTAAACGAAGGCTATAAAACAACCTGGGGGGGGGGGGGGTTATTGGCCAGTATACCCTAGTTTTTTTATATGTCGATAGTAAAAAAATAAATTCAAAAAATCCGAAAAGAAGTTTTATAAAATCGAAACACTTTTAAGATGTTGTCACATAGCTGAAGAAAACTCCGAACTAACCGAACACATTTAATTACATTCCAAACTGACAAAAACACACACACGCCTATCAGAATCAATACAGATTTATCCCTTCTTTATTGTCCACTTATTTTAAAACACGCACGGAGCCAGTGATGTGTGGCGCGAACACAACTACATCAAAGTAAACCGACGGATCAATGCTAAACTAATGTCGCGGGTTTGAATGTCTCGGCCAGTTAACCACAGCAAACGGGGTATCATTTAAAACAAATACGACCCGGGCTCTGTGCGACAGATGTTGTTGTGTAGAAGGAGAAATTGGTCATCGTGTCTACTGTCGTAGTGCTCAAATCGAACTCAGTATTGACTGAGGCGTTGCGTAGGAGTTACTGTTATTGTTAAACTGCTCATAGGAGTTACGGTTCTTGTTGGACTGGTCGTGGATTGCTGTCGTGTCGACAAAGCCTACATTGTGTGACTGGTATCCGGTTTCAATTAAAGGGGATAGAAATAATATATTTCTTTATTCACCTCAGGGGTCGAAGATGTTTTCTTGTTATTGAAAAGTCATATAAAAATGTATACCTGATAAGATAACAGTGTCGTTATAAAAACGCTGGCAAGTAAATAGCTTAGTGTCCATGTTTCTCGCTGATGTCGCTTGTCAGGTTTATGATTAAGGTTAGGGTACGGTAGAGAATAAATTTTAAAAATATGGTTAGGGTATGAGTTAAGGTTAGGGCTAGGATGGCGATATTAAAGAAAACAATGGACTAGAGTACGCTCTGTATATGCTTGAATAAGTACGGTACCGCAAGTGGTAAGAAAATAGAAGGTAGAGATAGATTTGTAGAAGCTTTATTTAAACAAAGAGTGTGGTTAGTTTATTCAGTCTTGCTCTATCCGTCAACAACACATGTCGCAAGAATTATGACCGAACACTATACCGAGGGCTAACGATTATTAAGACGAGTATAATTAAAGAACTTTTAAAGTGAAGTAAAAAAATAATCTCAGTTTCGACCAGTTTCTTGTGACTATTTATAAAAAACTTCCAGATAAGCACATATCCAATGTCAGCTCAAAAGTATAACATTTCTAGAATAATTACATTTTAAAAAAGTCATTAAAAATTAATATCACGAGTACCAAATTCAATAACGAAGGAGATATAATTAAATACTAGTCGGTTAGATGAGCTGGTGTTCACTTTGAGTATTTACTAATCTTATAAACGAGTTACTAACTTATAATACTCGACTTGTGTAATAATTTTTTGTAAGGAATCATAAGCGACATTTTAAGTATATCTGCTTGCACTTTATAAAAGCAAATTTTTAAAACCTAAGTACGAACTTACAATGTCTAAATACTAAGAAGAAGAAAAAATCCGCAAGCATTGAAACCCGAAAATATAGCAAGTGATATCTATGAGAAAATCTATGAGAGAATATTATCCCTAAGATCATATCATCGAGTCACAAATTCTATCCGTACAACTTGAATACATGTTCGCTAAAAGATATCATAAACAAGTATAGGGGAGGAGGAAGGGGGGTAATTATAATAGAACGGCGACACTCAAACGATAGTGTAAGTATCAATTACTGTATTTAAACACTGGGTGCAGGCACAGGGAATGTGAAGCAGAGCAACAAAACGATCATAGATTTCTTGACGACACTAAGGGGTAAACGAGAGCAATATTTTTTTATGCTTGCGTATGGAAGCAATGTTTCTTTCAGACTTTTTTCTTTGGGGTGGCGGGTGGGGGGGGGGGGGATTTTCAGGATGGGGGGCGGATACTGGTAAAAAATATATTTCTTATATAAATATTATATTCGTACGGGGGGGGGGGGTAGACGTTGCTGGAAGAAAATCTGTTTGGAGGGGGCGGGGTAGTGAACAGAGGCTGATTACTCTGAAGGGGAAGGGGTGGCTTGGATTAAATTACAGCAGCCCCTAAAGCTATCAAGGGACAATGACTATTTATATTTTGTTACAGTTATAAGATATTTTTATCCTCTAAACTTTGATTTCAGAAACCTCGAGTCCAGTGCTGATGATACTAACCTTTCATACGCCGAGGTCACTGAAACTGATGAGCTCTACTTCACCTGCCACATGGGCCGTAATGATCCAAAGGGTACTTTACTATCAAGCATGCAACTTCCCCTAATTTCTGTACTAATGTCGTATTCGTGCATGTTTCATACTAAAGAAAACTACTAAAATTTTTTTAAAGATTTACGTTTTTACGTTCATCCCGAGTACCAAACGTTGTGATACACAAAACAGCCAAAAATAGCCACGGTAATAAAAAAAAACGGCCTAGGCGCACTAAACCGTAACTTAAAACTCACGTGTTGAGCTGTGGGGGAGTTCACAGCAGTTTGAAATCCGATGATGGCATCATCTAAAGGCCAACATTATCTTGTGCTGGAGATCAGGTTCCACAACACAAAAAATACAATTTCATGAGTTGTTTTCGAGTAACGGCTTTGGGATTTTAATGAATAAACAAGCTTACAAAACCTTAATATATAATAACAAGCTTTTAAATAAAGAAAGAACTTTAAATTCTCTCTACTTATAATAGTAAAAATTAAAGCGCTGGTCGCAGTAAGTATTGAAAGTATTTCTAAGGTGACCAACGCTTTTAAATATGCCAAACAGGTCCTTTCACCATTATAAGATAACACTTAATATTCAGAAAAAAGTTGCAAGATCTAAATATAATATGAGTTTTTATATAATTTTGACAAATACATTTCAGGACTAAAGTAGAATTTTACTACGATATACTTCTTGTAGAAATAATGTATAAAATAATTCGCCACTGATAAATAAGTTTACACCCCCACCCCACCCCACCCTCTCTATTGTATTTGAATCACTACGTTTACTAGTCAATGACACTTCTGATTTGGACGATAAGACCAGTGGGGGACAGAGGGGGGTCAGGGTATTTTATTATCAACAAACCCCAGTTGCTCCGTACTTTCTAGGGATATGTGGGACGTACCACTGCTCTAGATGAACCTGGGCTAGTACTTTCTACCGGACAGAGTGGTGAAGGTCAGTGACATATTGTCGTAAGCTTAAGCCGTACTTAACAAGATATGTGATGTGTTACCGAATAACATTGTCGAAAAGTATTTTAAAATAACTTTTACCCATATCTATTTATCACAACTGCTGGTTTTAGAAACGTGACGGAAATATATAAAGGCACTTAGCGTTATTTTATAATTTGGTATCTTTATTGCTTAATGACAACATCAATGAAAAATACTGAAAGCGTAATAAAGGTAAACATTCAGTATAGGCCTACATGTAATAATGTTCTAACATATTTGTTACAATATTTATAAGCAAAGCTTGCTGCAAAGCTACAAACGATATGGAGCAATACACAACAGCGTTGTTGAATTTTAACTGGTGTAGCCTAATAATGTATCTAAAAGTATACCTATTATTAAAGGAAAAACAATTTAAAAAACG